TTACGTCCTCCAAAGACTTGACGCTGACACCCGATAGCCCCACTGTGGAAATGAATCATGGACAGTTAGAATGATATATTGAATGAGATACTGAGTATGATACTGATGGATTTGAGGAGAGAGTATAGTTCTTTCTAACAAACACACACGCTTGTTTTGGGGGGTTTATGAGGACTCTCCATTAGCATAATGTATTTTATTAAATATTAATTATAATGTCTAACCCTACAAACAAAACCTGTGGCCAATGTTGAATGTCAAAAGAACCAGTTAAGTATGATTTTTAACAGTTTTGAATTACAAAGGCACATGTCCTCATAAACTAAAAAGGGCATGTCCTCATATACAGTACCACCTCAATATTGTAATATATATGTCATTAAACAAATCTGTATTGCCAAAACCAGTGCACACACACACACACACACACACACACAAGAGAAATGCCTCATAAGCTATGTTTCTATCAACCTATTTGTATGTGCATTCTGGATATCCGCATTAAAAAAACGGTTAAGTAAAACGTTATAATGTGCATAAATCTTGGATGAACCTTTTATTTTATAAGAAAAGATGCACATCAACTACGATGGAAACACTTTAACTGAACAAATTTCAGAATGTGCATTAAAAGAGGTCATGTGATTTTGTTATAAGAGATAATATGATGATAAAAATGTGTGTGAATGGACAAACCAACAGGCTGAGCACACTATAAACCATTTGAAATGTTGTTTTGGTCCTTCTAAAATGTCTTAATCGTTTCAGTATTAGTGTTATTATATTATTAATCACCTCCAGAATCAACATCGTCTGTGCTCTGCGTCTCACGCCTTTAAACACCACCATGTGTTCATTGTGTACTGGCATTTGTCTTCTGAGGCGCAAGTCATTTATTAAATGAAAAAAAGATTGACGCAGCTTCCCCTACTGCAGCAAATTCAATTTTCATTTTTGATATTTGGCGCCAATTAATCAGGAAGTGACGATTTTGTTCTGTATGACTCATTGGATGCTTTATTCGTTCATCGTTTATGTGATAATCCAGTTTTGCACATACATTTTATTCGTATCTTTGGATGAAAACATAGCTAGTGTTTGTTTGGAAGTTAAGAAGGAACAATTCTGATTCTTCTAAATGTTTTCTTTTTTTGAAGAAAGATTTGCTTCGTAATGATGTGAAGGATTAGAAATGAGAGATTTCATTTTTGAGTGAACTATGCCTCTAATTTTTACATAAAATGTCAGACATATCGATGTGCATTTATTCTTTATGACAAAAATATCACAAGAGTTTGTTGTGATTTTAACAGTATGCACGTTGACATTATCGAGGGTTACTTTTTATTGCAAAAAAAGCATTTAAGGATTCTTAAAGCATTCAGTTTGTGATGAAGTCATTAAAATATTATAATTTAAGTTATCAAAGAAAAATATTGTTGTATGGGTTTAGTTTTTTATGAGAAACGATATAGTTAAGTTACAGCATGAGTGCATGAGTGCCGTTTTTCTAAATATCAGACTGTGAGCAAGAGATTAATATATTGACATAGAACATTTAAAATCTCTGATTGTTTAGACACCCGCTTCGAAAGTTATCACTCGATTGAATAGGTATTTTCTTGTGGTTTTCAGCTGATAAATATGGGCCAGCAGGGGCCTTCTGCGCCTACTGGTAGGCTCAGAAAGCTGTAATCTTCCTCCGCATGATTAATCAGATATACTATTAGAAAAGACTCCAGATTCAGATCTGTTTTTAAATTACTGTGACAGTTGGGTTTAATGTTGGGGTGGGTGTAGACGTTAATAAACTACAATTAATGGGAAATGTAATTAATAATATGAATAATTCTGGTTAATCAGCTATACTAATATAGAAGACTCCAGATCTGTTTTTACATTACTGTGACAGTTGGGTTTAGGGTGGGGGTAGATGTTAATAAAAATACAATTAATGGGAAATTTAATAAATTACATAAATAATTTTTGTTAACTTCTGGCTGCAGACGTATGTGATCTATAGCTGATTAACCATGTGGATGGATAATAACAGCCTTCTGAGCCTACTAGTAGGTGCAGAAGGCCCCTTCTGGCCCATATCTATCAGCTAATAACCACTGATAACGGTCATTCAATCGAGTGATAACATTTAAATCGGCTTGTTTTGATTGAATAAATTGGTTTTCAATGATCACGTTGTGAAGACTACATATTTGGTTTGTATATGAATAAGTCAACTTGAATGAATTGTTTGAATGAATCCTTTAAATTAATGAATCATTCATCAAGACTCATTCGTTCATTTCTTTTCCTTCGGCTTAGTCTTTTTATTCATCAGGGGAATGAACCGGCAACTTATCCAGCATATGTTTTATACAGTGGATGCCCTTCCAGCCGCAACCCAGTACTGGGAAATATCCATACACACTCATTCACACATATACACTATGGCCAATTTAGTTTTATCCAATTCACCTATAGTTCATGTTTTTAGACTGGGGGAAACCAAAGCACCGGGAGGAACAAATTCCACACAGAAATGCCAACTGACCCAGCCGGGACTCAAAACAGTGACCTTGCTGTGAGGCAACATTGCTAACCACCGAGCCATCGTGTTATCCCCCTCATTAATACTGTTTATAATATTTTTTATTACAAAATACTCTGTTTATAATATAATTTCTCAATATAGCTGCAAAATGAAAAAAACTAAAATTAACAATAACTAAAGGAAATGAATTAACTGTGTTCTTTTGGTAAGCACTTAGTGGGCTTATCAATTGGTTTTAACTGAAACCTTTCAAATAAAACTTCATCTATATCATATTTAAGATATTTCTTTTGGTTTGGCACCGAAGAGTTAATCCTGCAAAGTATTAGCTAACTGCATCAGCAATCAAACTGAACAAACAAATGAACGCATATAGGAAAGACATTGAGCTAATCAGCTAATCAGATAATCAGCGACTACTGACCAAATGTTATGCAGTGTTCAGATTTTCCATCTTATAATTACCATAATTACTAGATGACAACCCGGATGCTCTCCTCTGAGCTCTTCTAATCCACTTAATTATGCATTTCTATGACATAAACATGAATGCTAATAAAAAAATTAATCAGTGTAATTTAGGTAATAAATATACTAGTGACATTGCTTGAGATGTCTTTATGACAACTTGACATAACCAAATAAACCATAACCTGATTTGTCATGGCATCATGACATTACCAACATAACTTGTCATAAATCTGTCATAAACATGATTGTCATGAGGCCATTATAATTGAGTCATGAATATTTTTCTGCTCACTTTTTTCAAGGGAACAAAGCGAATTCGCCATCTAAATTTATTATACACGATTATAATGGCTTCATAGCGATCATGTTTATGACAGATTTATGAAAAGTTGCGCTGTCTGATAATGCAAAGTAGTCATTATAAGAACACTGACCACTTTTGTTGTCTTGATAATGTCAAGTTGGCATGACAAAGACATGTTATAAAGTATTTGGTTATGTCAAGTTTCATAACAAAGACAACCCAAAAAATGTCTTCTTTGTATCTAAAATGACCAAACTGAGAAAATGACACTTAAATAGTTATTCAGTTCTGTACTAACTAAACTTTATATACTGTAGTATTGAACGTCTTTGAATTTAGTCAATCATAGAGACTAATAAGCCAAAAATGTAAATAAAAACAACACTTTACTGCTAAATCTGCTGCGTTTGGCTTGTTTTCACACCATGCTGCAATAGTCAAGTCATTAGCTCTCAGGAAATTCAGTTTACAAGATGTAATTAAGTTAGGAGATTTATGTGAGATTAGGTCAATATCTATAGTCTGTAAAACTGACATGCTGTAGATGCGTCTTTATTGGGTAACTTTACTTGAAAGAGATGTTCATAAGACACCTTTTTAATCATGATATGACACGTCATGAATATGAATGAGATTTTATGCATGCTTATGACAACTGGTATCAATCATTTTACGTGCAAAGGTGACATTGTTTGAGATGTCTCTGACAACTTGACATAACCAAATAAACCATAACCTGATTTGTCATGGCATCTTGACATTACCAACATAACTTGTCATAAATCTGTCATAAACATGATTGTCATGAGGCCATTATAATTGTGTCATGAATATTTTTCTGCTCACTTTTTTCAAAACAAGATGCATTTGCCATCTAAATTTATTATACACGATTATAATGGCTTCAAGATGATCATGTTTATGATGGATCTATGACAAGTTGTGCTGTCTGATAATGTCAAGTGGTCATAACAAGGATGCTGACAGGTTTTGTTGTCTTGATATTGTCAAGTTGGCATTACAAGGACGTTGAAAGGGTTTTGTTGTCTTGATAATGTCAAGTTGGCATGACAAAGACATGTTATGAAGTATTTGGCTATGTCAAGTTGTCATAACAAAGACATCTCAAACGATGTCATCTCTACATTTAAAATGACATGACTGAGCAAATGACACTAAATGACAGTTGTCATAAGCATGCATTAAATCTCCTTCACATTCATGCCCTGTATCATGTCATGATAATTAAGGCTTCATGACAGTCTTATAAACACCTCCTTCAAGTAAAGTGTTACCCTTTAATGCATCTTATTAATATTAAAAAGGTTATGATCATGAATATTAATTAGGCAACATAAGGATTCCATGCTGGATGAAGCAATAAAACGTCTCCACCACATAATAAATCATTTATAATCACCCTGGTCAGCAGAATGATGCATACGTTTAGTAACAATTAGAATTTAGAAGATTTTAATATCAAATGCATTTTCATTTACAGCGCATTGAGCATTTGCCCCAAAAAAGCTGAAGTTTGGTATGAAAAAAAGCTGAAGTTAACAAGAGGGCTTGCATTTCCTTGCCATTGCAGTGACAGATGTGTAACTAGCCTTATTTTAGCCAGTCCACAGCAGGCCGATCATAAAAATGTCCAAGGACTCATTAACCTCTTACCATTTGATTTCCATTCGTGTCACAGTTGAAGTCGGAGCTCTTGAATGCAGCGGCGGCGGTGGCGACTGTGTTGGACGGCATCGCCAGACGAGTGACTGTTGAACACAATGCAAAAGTCGAAAAAGGTCAAAACAAAAATAAAAGAACAAAAAATGGTGACCCTCCTTCTTTAGGATCCCCTGTGAAAAGGAACACCACAATCAGAAGAAACAGCACTCAAACAACAAAACATTCACGATAAGCATAATAATGTTTCACCTTATCTTACAACGCCAAACTGAAATCTTAATTGGGAATAAAACATTCATTCTTATGCAGATTATTAGGAATTAGATCATGTCACATTTAAGTTGTGCATAAAAATCATCCTTAGTAAAGCTTAATTGTTCAGTTCATTAAATCTGTAAGTAAAGTATTGCTGGTCTGACTCGTACACGTTTAAAACGTACGCTTTCTCCGACTGCTACATGAAAACTCTCCTTGGAGGTGAAATATGAACTCTTCGCTTTATGGAATTTCCTATTCTCTCCCTCAGAGCAGTTTTAAAGGGGTCTGTACATTATATTCTTCACTCCCATGCATGTGCGCTTCAACGCAGCTTTTCTGTACAAGTAGGACACCAAAGTCCCATGAAATTAGATTTAGAGGTCAATAAATTAGGCGTCTATCGTTAAAGGAATAGTTCAGCAGTGAATTAAAAGTCTGTCTTCTTAATTCTTTTCATACTGTCAGGTTTTTCCACACTGATTTAACTTTCTTTCTTCCGGAGAAAACAAAAGGAGAGGTTTAGCAAAATGTTCATGCTGCTTTTTTCCAAATTATTGAGTCAAAATGATTGAGGTGGCCAATTAAATTTAGTCAATCAAATATATCTAATTTGATTTAAAAAAAATTCAAAATTTCATCATTTTGAATTGAAATTATTGTGTAATTTATTCGATTTGTGTAATTCTTGACATGTCAGTAAATATTTTGCATTTTCAACATATTTTGCATACAATTAGTATTGTGTTGATTATTTTATTTTTATATTTCTGCAAACAGCACACAGTTTTCATTTTTCCCAGCTAGAATCTACATCAAGCTTCTATATTTTAGAAATCAAACTGATCGCTCTCAATGATCATAACATGATTACATCTTTTAAGCTCCATAAAAAACTGTCCAATGAGTCTTCATAAGTTATATGATAACTTTTCCCAAAATTGAAGCTTCTGATTTTCAAAATTAATTTGCTATTTGTATTTAGATACAGCGCATTAAGAAGCAGGTTTCACACTACTGATGCCAAATCTCATTTGTCTTTTATTCAAAATTGAAAAACGGATGAAAATGAATAATCATTTACATACAAGATTTAAAATCTACAATTCATATTGTTTTTTACTTCAGGTGACTGAAAATAAAGGATCACAAACGTCACTCGCTATAATCTCTTATAATTACTTTAATAACGATAACTATTACTGAGTAAATATACTCTTAATCCTTACAAAAATGACCATACAGTGTTGTTTGACCATTTTTCAAAGATACAGTCTTGATGACTAAAAAAAACTGAGATAACTTGGTCATTCAAATGTTTGAAAGCTCTTAAAACTTTCACATATTAATTTATTATAATTTACAGTATTTTACTGGTGTTGTGAGGTAAAATCTTGCCTCCAGTCAATAAAGCATGAAAAATCTTAGGTAATTAATATTCAATAAGCGGTGAGATTTGTCGCAGGTACTCAATAACACGGTTATTAATTGGTCAGGTGTCTGTCATATCTATAAAAGCCTAAAAACCTCTCCTATCATCCGCCTACTCGGATTATTCGGCCCTTGCAAATGTCAGTCATTTGCAGCAGGCCAAGGCGGCTTAAAAATGACACCCTTCTCAAAACCTAGGTGAGGTGCCTGCCTGCACGGCACTTCTAGGCATCTAAGCCTCATCTTTAAGCATTTATGTGCATCAAAAACGCGCACGGAACAGAAATATGCGCGAAATGCTGTCTAGTTAGGCAGCTCGTGCGTTTCTGAAACACAGCCATTGTTTCAAATGGAGGGGTTTGACGCTGCGTGCGCTCTCCAGGCGCTGCAAATGAACGGCCGTCAAGTTCAAGCGCATATCGCGGTGTATAATCGCACATCTGTAAGGAGCAGGAAAAACCTCTGGACACATCGAGCCCACCCCCTTCCGTATATCGCCCTCTCCGCAAAAACAGCCAGCCCCACGGCGGAGACTTATTTCGATGGCGGCTTCAGGTTTTAGATAAGTAACAGCAGTGTTAATTACCCGCTTCGCCAAGTTCCAGGCCTGACCCCTTTTTTGTTTTCGCTGACTCCCGGATCCCCCTTCAGCTTCGCTCTCCCCGTCCTCCACCACCTCCCAGCCGGCCAGCTCTCCTCCAGATGCTCCGCTCACACCGACTGCAGCAGAGGCCGCCGCTCCGAAAGCTCCGCCGGGTCCTATAGACCGCCAGCTGACAGATTTTCTTGTCAGAGAGATTCTGGTGTGTGATGTCTAACTCACAAGTCTTCCTTAAAGACGGCATGGGTCGAAAAAAACACTGTTTTTTTTCTAAATGCATATTGTAGATCTAATCTTATAATGAAGGACCATGTGCATGTTTTTTGTTGGTATTTGTAAGCTAAATGTCTTCAGGGCAAATGACAGATTCTCTCTGGGGTGGTGACCTTTAGTAGGCCTACGTTGTGCAGGACATGTTCAATCGGTAAATAGATGGACTTGTTCCACAAAAAAGTAATACACACATAATTTTGTTGTTAATACACTCACCCTAAACAATATTCAGATTGCTTAACTGTGGTTCACTGTCAAAACGTAAATCAATGCATATTGCTTTTTGAGAGGCAATAATAAGGCATCCTGGTGGACGCATTGACATCAAGGCAAGATCAAATTGACATTAAGCATGACAGAAAAAACATATAAAAAATGCAATTGATTTGGGGATGTCGAATGGACATCCATCTGATATCCCCACATCGATGCCCATTTGACTGCCCAAATAATGACACAAATGGCCCGCTTCCACTGACTGGTACGATACAGGTCGATACGGGTTACCATTATCAGGCTTGCGTTTTCACTGCCCAAAGGGAACCAAGGGTAAACATGGCAGTTTGTTCATGATTCAGGTTGCTGAAACAATTTGCTCCTTAGTTTTGTCGTGCTGCTCCTTTGTTTTTTTACACTTCACTCTCACGTTTGTCCCTTTCTGAAAGGATCGGGTGTCAGAAACACTTCTATAATCATGTGCACGTTATTATTGTCAGCTCAAGAAGTTTGTTATTTCAAATATAGATGCGATCGCGAGCTCTCTGGAGAAAGTGAAACCTTTTGCACTTTTAGAGCTCACAAAAGAACAGGACAATGTGTCGGCTGTGTTTTTAAAAATGGCGGTTACTTTGCGTTCATTCTCCTGCTTCTGCGAGTGACGTAGCTCTGTAAACCAATAGCGTTCAGCTGCACGTCCAGCTCCGCCTTTTGGTACTCGCAAACAATGAATAACTGGTTCGATCCCAGCTCAGACAGGGTTGGGTCAGTAGAATCGGTGGGTTACATGTGGGGGCTCGATAGGATGAGGTTTAGGGGAATGAGTTTAACGGAGGCCAATTAGTGAAGTGCTATGCTGGTAAACTTTACTTATCTGACCTTAAAAGGTGCTCTAGTGAGAGGCCATGGTCTTTATCCTCCTTGTTAGAGCAACCGACACCCAAACAAAGATTTGCCAGTGCGATCCCAGCTCAGACCGGGTTGGGTAAAATATAATACTTAAGAAAATCTAAGAAGTTTTATTCTTCTTAAAGTCTCATTTACAAAATTATGCTGAATTTTATATCCCTAAAATTAATGTGATTCAACTTGATGTCAAAATGACATCTAATTAGTCGGCGCAATAGCCTAGTGGTTAGCGCGCTGACATATGGTGTAGTAGCACGTCAGGGTGTCCTGAGTTTGAATCCTGGCTTGTGGACAGTTGCCTACCCCCCTCTCTCCCTCCAACTTCTCTTCCTGTCTCATTACTGTCCTGTCTAATAAAGCCAAAAATAAATCTTAAAAATATATATATAATAAAAATGACATCTAATTAAGGGCTAGCATTGGTCAAAGATCAATTTTGTCATGTTTTTTGACACCTAGGATGTACTTACACTAGGTACGATTGCCTTGAATGGTGCCCGGGTGCGCTTGTCCTCGCTCACCTTTGACCTGGGCTCACACTGCAATTTTTACATTCCGAGCCCGTCGAAATGGGGGCCTGGACAGTGTTCGGATAGCCTAAGTGAGCACACCTTTAGATGCCAATTTGATGTAATTTTGACTTCAAGGTAGTTCATTTTGTTAGTTAGATTTTGGTAGGATTTTAGATCTTTTTATTTTGTTTAAAAATCAAGGTGCTTGAGTGCAGCCCAGTGGCTCAATGGTTAGCACTGTTGCTTCACAGCAAGAAGGTTGCTGGTTTGAGTCCCGGCTAGACCTATGTGGAGTTTGTATGTTCTCCATGTGTGGGTTTCCTTTGGGTGCTCTGGTTTCCTCCACAGTCCAAAGACTTGAGCTATAGGCGAACTGAATAAACTAAATTGTCCATGGTGTTTATGTGAATGAGAGTGTATGGGTGTTTTCCAGTACTGGGTTTCAGCTGGGAGAGCATCTGCTGCATAAAACATATGCAGGAAACAAGGTTCTCACTGGAATCTAAAGTGAAAACTTATGAATCTTATGAAGGGAAACCATTACACTGTGCAAGAAATCATTATTGTCATCAACATTATTTACTAGAAATCTTTAATCCACAGCCTCTGTGAATGGTCCTGATCATGTTCAGGAAAAGTCTGAAGCGTGAGCATCTATTATGTATAATTATGTAATTATGCATATTATTACACACTGAGAATTTGAGAAAAGTCAATCTTTGAAGAGAAAGGACAGTTCAGATAAAGTGGAAAATTTTGTCATCATTTATTCACCCTTTACTTGTTTCAAACCTTTATCAGTTTCATGCTTTTGTTAAACACAAAAAAAGATCTTTTTAAATGTTGGAAACCTGAAACCATTGACTTGCATTGTATTTGTTTTTCCTATTATGGAAGTCAACGGTTAGAGGTTTGCAGCTAAACAAATATAATATTTAGTGTTCAAAAGAAGACACTGATTTTAAAAGCCCCTGAGAGTGAGTAAATGAGAATGAGCACACTATCCCTTTAAAGTCGACAGTACGTCTTAATGTTACTTTGAAAAGGAAATATCTCAGATTTAAGTTTTTATGACTTTCAGAAACATGCACTTTGAAACGCACTTCGAAAGGGTCAAGTTTATAGGCCCCTAAAACACCACTGTTGTGCAAACTAACAGCTAAAGCACAACGTTTTCAGCTTCAGTTGAAGTCATTGTGTAAATGTACCCTCAGTCTGCTTAAAGCCTCTTCAAACTCATGTTCATCCACCTTCAGTGTTGGGAACAATGGCTGCATCTCAACCAACAATCGATCCATACAATGTTTTCCCAAATGTAAGCAGATTCAACATGAAAAAACTTAGTTGTCCTATAAAAAAAACTCTACAATTGTGTTGATTTATTCATTTATTTTCTTTTCAGATTAGGCCTTTTATTAATCTAGAGTCGCCACAGCGGAATGAACCGCCAACTTATCCAGCATATGTTTTATGCAGCGAATGCCCTTCCAACTGCAACCCATCACTGGGAAACATCCACTTTTAGCTTACACAATTTACCTGTACCACATGTTTTTGGACTTGTGGGGAAACCGGAGCACCCGGAGGAAACCCATGCAAACACGGGGAGAACATACAAACTCTACACAGAAATGCCTAGTGAACCTGGGAGGCGATTGTGCTACCTACTGCGCCACCGTGCTGCTTGTGTTGATTCAGCTCATTTTAAATAAGCAGAAAAATAAATGTGAGTTCACTGTACTGTCTCAAATGTAAATCACAATTCAGAGAACAAATATTAATCTTTAGCAGATTCACCCAAATCTGAAACATTCATAAGAGACATCTATTTCATTGCTGCTTTCACCATTACAGTGTACAACACTGTCTGTGCATAGCCTATTCACACCAGAAGAAAGTGTTGCATCACCTTTGTCTGTCAACATGATCTGAACTTATAGACAGCATATTTAGCATTTGGTGAACAAAAAGGTTTATGAGAAAAGACATGTGATGCAAGCGTAATGGCTGACATGAATCATGTGCCTCTCACAGCCAACCACATTATGCAATTATAGCCTTGACATCTGTTTACTTTATGCTATGCAACTGTCCAAAGACATGCGCTATGGGTGAACTGAATAAATTAAATTGGCTGTAGTATATGTATGTGTGTGTGTGTGTGTGTGTGTGTGTGTATTTGTGTGTGTATGTGTGTGTGTGTGTGTGTGTGTGTGTGTGTCTACGTGCTTTTGTGACATATCAGGACACAAATCAGTATAAGGACATAGATATGACACAGGTATTACAAAAAGCAGGTGAAATATGAGGACATTGGTGACATCCTCATTTCTCAAAATGCGTATTCCTACAGAATGAGTTTAATCAGAGAGTAAAGCCGCACACAGTCTTCTGTGATGGTTGGGTTTAGGGGTGGGGTGGGGGCAATACAATATACGGTTCGGACAGTATAAAATGAATGGAAAAATATGCAATCTCCCACTTTTCACAAAAACAAACGTGTGAGTGTGTGTGTGTGTGTGTGTGTGTGTGTATATGTGTGTGTGTGTGGGGGGGTGGGGGGGGGCTCGGGGGAGGGGGGGGTTCCCAGTACTGAGATAGAGCTGGAAGGGAATCTGCTGTATAAAACATATGCCGGAGTAGTTGGCAGTTCATTACACTATGGTGACCTCTGAAATAGAGACTAAGCCAAAGTAAAATGAATTAATGTAAAATTGCAGTGTGAGTCCAGGTCAAGGGTGAGGGGGGGACAATGAAATAATAAGCTGCTTCGATTGACCTCCATTAAAAACAGCTTCTTGTTTCCTTAACAGCAGTAGATTTAGCTGTTATGCTATTTTAGGTTTGCCTTCAACTGGCTTTGAATGTTTATTTTTGCTGCTTGTTCAGACTACTTACCTAAAATGAGTTGAACCAACACAATTCTCGAGTTTGTTTTGAAGCAACTTAATTGTTTTATGTTCATTCTATTTTAATTTGTAAAAAGAATTAAGTGTAGTCATCGATTTGTGTTGAGACAACATGAAAGAATTGTGTACAACCCAGCATTTTTATACAGTGTTCGAAGTTGACTATATCTGGAATAAAATTCTGGAAATCATTTGTTATAAAATGTAGACACTGTATTTTACATTAAAGTTATTAAATAACACAAACAAACTCTAAATCACAAAAATAGCTACACAAATAAATGGGAGAAACCTTATACTGTATGCCATTAGGCA